GGGTTGTAAGTGGGGTTAGGGTTCAGGCAACCAGGAACCTTTAGCGAGTTACGTCGCGCACACCCCCCTCCTCTAGTGGGCTGGGGCGAAACTCGAGTTCCTGGTGTCTGATTTGTTTCAATTTCTACTCCTACTGGAAATAAATGGTATAAAATACCGACACAATGGAAATATAAACACATATGCAGTATAATGTGACTTGAAAAAGCCCACTGTGTGGGCGAAACGTAGTCAATAAAGGATCACATTATACTGCATATGTGTTTATATTTCTACTCCTACTACCTGGTCCCCTCAAGGAAGGTTCCTTGATGTTGGTGAGGGGCTCTTGATTTAGGGAATTGGATCTGTGCTCCAGTTCCCCGAATTAAGCCTGAATGCCTTCCACATCCCCCCCCCAGGCGCTGTATAATCCTCCGGGTTTAGCGCTTCCCCCTTGATTATAATAATAATAATCCTACTACCTGGTGTGGGTTGAAGTTTGAAGAGTCACTTCACCTCCACTCTTCTCCTGATCATATAAGGTGATCTACCAGGAGTATTACTGTTCGTTGCTTTCTTTTGTTTGCTGGTTACCAGTAATGATTTTGGCATTTACCACTCTTTTTCGTTCTTAAATAGTTATATTATCATAACCATTGGTAACCAGTTTATTTTTTCTTGTTACCAGCTCTGTTCCTAGCGTGGTCATCCAGGGTAGACGCCAGATAAAGGAGCAAGATACTTGTTAATGGGACTAATTAACGTTGGTCGACTACTATTGGCCCTTATTTATCCTACTTGTGGTGCTCCAACCAAGTGGTAGAAGAGATTCCAAAACATCGGACTGTTACCATCCGCCCAGGATAACCTTCATCATCTTTAAAATTAGAGATCTGTCCAGGGCCTTACCTACTCCTGCCCAACTACAGCACCAGAACCAAAGGCCATTTTTATTATATTTAAATTTTAAGTAAAATCCTCAAGTCATTCTTATTTTTCCTAGCCGTTTAGTTATTTATTTTTCCATTACTTTTTTGTTCAGATGGAAAGCGTTCGACTGACAAGGTTAAGTCTCCAGGATGCGACCCATACTCTAGTATGGGTCGCAAATGTTTCCACTGGTACCCGGGAGTGAGCTGTGTGTGCTACCAACCGATCTACGGGACAACCTGGAGGAGAGAGAACACCGGAATCATCTCGCAACTCTTATAATCTCCCATAAAGTAATTACAAAAAAGTACAAGCCAATAGCGTCTTCAAACCCTTTCTCTGAGAGGATTTTAAGAAGCAAGACTGCGAATATCACAACAGCTGCACAGCAATGGATAGCAAAGACCAAGAACGGATCACCAGTGCCTCTCGTATCTTAGGATCATTGCGACATCTCGGATACATGGAAAGGCAAGCAAAGGGCAGATGTAAGGTACACGAGCTTTGCAACAACAGTTGGCAAGGTCAAATTTCGTGCTAACGGAATAACTGAAAAAATGGGGAAGATGGATATTTAATCTCTCGGCAAAGACAACCCAAAGAGTAGCAGTAGCCAGAATAAAATAGAGGGTTGTAAAGTTCTCGAATACTTTGATGAAATTCGCTGCTCCTTTCTGACAGACCTAAAGAACTAACAAATATTCTTCCCTCTTCACTATTTTTCTGCATATTAGAGATCACAGCCATTCTTTTTAAGTTTGTCCTCTGTCCATATTATCTATCCTTCGGCAGCCTTTATCCACAATATTCCTAACACGAATCTTAGTCCCGGTTCTGCAATCTTCGGAACATAACAAACCTAACATAATAGTATTCTTTTCACCTTTTCTTCTACATAACCAGTTTCCTGGTACTGCCTTTTCGTGATTTGTCATGTCATTCTCCTTACTGTTGACCTGGCTTGTCTCCTGGTTATTCTTTACTTTCCTCCCTCTGTTGTGAAATTGTAATAATGCATCATGGTCTGAAACATCATGTGACCGAATACGAGAGTCTTCCTACAACACACAACTCGGCCTGGGGATAGGCTTGTTTTGTACTTGTTAAGTCAATCAAGGTGTTGCTGTTGGTGGCCACATATAGTTTCGGCACTCTGCCGAGGTAGTGATCCAGCTTTCGTTTGAAGCCCTTTGCACTTGTCCCTGCTGTATTTTTGATATCTACTGCATATGCCGAATAGTCTAAGAAAGGGAGCCATAGGCTCTCTTCCTTAGACTACTGGAAGCTTATAGCTCCCTTTTTTCTCACTGGATTTACTTTACAATATTTTTTACTCTTGTTCATTTTTATGGCAGGTTTGGAACCAGATTCTCCAGCAACTTACTTATCTTGTATTTCGCTTCATTTAGGAGTCCACATCAGTTTAAATGTTTTACGTGTTTTGTGTGCAATAAATGATCTTAAGATCTGTTCCATGTCTCATCTCTCTCTTGCCTCTAATGTAGCCGTTAATACAGGACAATAGCCAAGGAGAGAGAGAATGAGTAATTTGAGTAGCGTCATCATTTACAATATTTTTATAGTTTTGAATGATTTCATTATTCTAGTTTTTGCAACATTTGCCTTGTGTTCTCGAAATAAAATGTCAGCTTCCATTATCACTCAGGTTCTTCACGTTTTTCTCTTTCTATTTAGGGGATCTCCTGTGTTTTGTATACTGTGCCCCGTCCGATATATTTTTTTTTTTTTTTTTTTACCATTTCTGAGCAGTTTGAATTCGTCACTACTGAACACCACACAATTTTCTACTGTCCACTGAAAAAAAACTTTTTTTTTTTTCATCTTGACCGTGTCTGCTACTAGGATGAATTTCATGCTTACTAACTCGTGTCGTCCACAGTTCACAATTTGAAGCTGTGGGGTATTTTTATATTCTTATAGCCTAGCCTACATTTTACTTTATTTTTTTGAGTAAAATTTATCAAAATTTAATACCTCTTTACCATCCTTATTATAACGATTGATTTAATTTTATCTACTATCACTCCATGAGTGCATTTGTTACATGCCTTAGCGAAATTCGAATAGACTCCATCAGTATTTCGAATTTCTTCCAATGTTTCCGTAATGTTATTGTAATGTTTCAGCAGCTCTGAAAACCATGATCTTCCCTCTCTAAATCCATATTGGTTCAGGATGAGCAGTTCAGGTATTTTCAGTGAATTTCAGAATTGACGTCTCTTAACCCGTTCAATTTGTGATGTTAGTGTTACTGAACTGTATTTTTTTTCCAAGCGCTCTGATGCCTTTTTTCTTTGTGCAAGGAAACAATGTCTGCCTTTTTATAAGACGGGTATTTTACCTACAGCTACACTCTTCTTCTCAGAGATTATTCATTGCTCCCGCTAGAGGCATTTTGCAATTATTTTCTATTCGTTTTTTTTTTTTGGGGGGGGGAGATTATTGCTTTTGTCAGATTTGTTGGGCAGCTAGAAGTAAAGATAAAATGGGCATCCTCTAGCCTAGCCCCTATCAGTGGTCTGCTGAACATCGATTCTTACCAGTGTTTCAACATTTCGTTTATTATTTTCTCGTCATCAATGTACCAACTTTCTTTGAGTAATGAGCCAATTCTACGAGACCTCGTCCTTGTAGAATTTTTTCTCACTTTCGTGGTTGGCTTTTTCCTCTTCCTACTTCCGTCTGGTGTGAATGTCTAAGATTCTGTTCAATATCGGAAATCAATTAACAAATTAATTCGTTGTAAAATAATCTCATTTTTTTAAGCAATTCAGAAAACCTTTTTCTTTTACACGTTCTTCGAAGTTCTCGTTCTGTAGTGACGGTAAATCTCCAAGTGAAACGTACTGTATACTGACTTTGTAAGCCTCTGTAGTCAACTCTTTCAGGTCAAATAACTCTAGTTTGAATTAATTTTAATGGTTCGAGCCAATTACTTCATCTGTAAAGCGCAGCAGCTTCTCTTCTCTGAAACTAATTCAAATTTGTCCCAGAAATTTGCAAAGTCAAGAAATTATTGCAAAATCTTCAGCGCAATCCAGAATTTTACTTACTGACCAGTATAATATGCCTAAAAAATAAGGTAAAGGTTATTTTATGTTACTTCATCCTATATTATTTAATAAATGAGTAATTAAAAAATATTCACATACATACTTTAGCTTTATTCCAAAGCTTAACAATTTGATTTGCTTAATCTAGCAATTTGTTTTTTTCATGCCTCGTAACTGGATACTAATTATAACTTAAATATAATTCTGGAATTAAATATAATTCTGGAAGTTTTTGTAATCAGGTTTAATTCATTATTTTTTGCGATAAATTTATTAAATTATCTCTTATTTATTTGTATTACTTATTCCTTTGCTATGTCTGGGTATCAATTACAAACTAATGTTACTAATTTACAATGACGTAATTTTCATAGTATCCACGTAAATGAAAAGACTAATAGCGAATATTGGCTTACATAAAGGAACATGAAGCTGCGTGAAGCTGAACTAATGCAGTTCAATAGAAACGTTAAAGAACACTAAACATGACTCACGAAATCGTAATGACATGATTGCAAACAAACCATTCTACGGGCGGGAATAGAACCAGCGGCTAACGCGTCGGTCTGGAGTTTTGTGACTCTGATCGCGGGTTCTAACCCCGCTCGTGGTATGGTTTAACACTGAACATGATTTAATATTAGTTATACATTTCTAATTTACATAAAATTACCCTTAAAATATAATAATGTGTAAGGTACCGTCATATACATTATCAATAGCTTAATACATGCGTCACAACCGACTATGTATCGTTGCTAAATTCGTTTATTCCAGCTCAATACAGGCATCTTATTTTGTATACAATCATTTTCAAGTCATGTAGAAATTAACGTTTAAAGGAATCACTAAGTAAGCTAATGTCCTCTCAAGTACCAAGTGTTGTAGAGGGTACTAGTAGAGAGCGCTCGCTTAGAATACCATCACCGGGTACCGGAAATCTTACAACTCTTCTGCTTATCAAGAAAAACGCTCTACGGTAACTGATAATCATTTTCCTTATTTTTTTTACAGGCTGAAATATTTACTAGCTTACGCCAGCAAATTTCTGGTAAGCAATGAAGATAAGCCGGAGTGGTGCTTCAGAGTCTTTGGTTACACACAAGTGAGCAGTATAGCTGGCGAGGATGAACCATCCCTGGGAGGAGATTCCCTTACGTCCAGACCAACAAATGGTTAGTACACAGCATTTATATTCATCCATTTGTCCCATTCAAACTACCCACATTTTACACTATTCTTTTTCTTAGTCGACTGGTGTGGGCCGCATCCTGGGGACAAATTTAAGCAAATTTTCCCGAAGTGCTCTGCATAAACAAGAGCTTTCAATAATATTATTTATTATTATTATTACTGTTGTTATACAATGTCTTTCAAAGCATTATTTTTTAACGTTCCCTGCAAATAGAAAATATACGTTCTCGAAGCTCGGTTGGTAGCGCACTCAGCTCACATATTGAGTATCCGTGGTTCGATCTCCGGTACGGGTGAAAAACAATGGGCGTGTTTCCTTATGACACCTGCTGTCCCTCTTTACCTAGCAGTAAGTAGGTACCTGGATGTTAGTCGACTGGTGTGGATCGCATGCTAGGGAACAAGATTAACCTATGTTGCCAGAAATGCTCTGCATAAAAATGTCCTTTCTATATAGTATGTCACTGATGTCAGCTATGGTCTGTATAGGTTGTACTTGTAGACGTAAAGTTTATTAATATCATTATTACAAATAAAAATAGTGTTGGCCAACCCAGGTAAGCTCAGATATATACGCTGATGTGGCAGGGGTGTGAGGATGGGTTGTTCCAAGGGAGGTTTTGGAGTTTCATTATTCAAGTCAGTTTTCTACGGTACTTTTAGTCTATTTCTTATATACAGTTGCTCGAATGAAGATCTATACATAACGAAGAGTAACTGATTTTACTCCAACTATTCTGTACTGTTTGCACTCTCCCCATGACTCTTCTCCCCATGACTCTTCTCCCCATGACTCTTCTCCCCATGACTCTTCTCCCCATGACTCTTCTCCCCATGACTCTTCTCCCCATGACTCTTCTCCCCATGACTCTTCTCCCCACGACTCTTCTCCCCATCACGCTTCTCTCCATCACACTTTTTCCTCCTCAAACTTCTTCCTCCTCAAACTTCTTCCCCTCACACTTCTCTCTCACACTTCTCCCCCCTCATACTTCACCCCTCACACTTCTCCCACACTTGTCCCCCTGTTACTTTTCCCTCTCACATTTTTTCCTCTCACACTTGTCCCTCTCACACTTCTCCGGCTCTTGCTTTGCTTCCCTTTCCTTTTCCTGCCTTGTTCTGATCCCTCTCACCTTCCTCAGTTAACTTTCTCACTCCCATTGCACGATATGACTTTCATAAATACGAGTTTTTCCATATAAGAAATATTGGTAACCATTGTATCTACTTTAATAATAATATTGTTGACGTTGCTTTTGTTTCTCGTCTCCTTCTAATTGGTCTCTTCTCGCTTCCATACTTTCTACGTATGGTTGTATTTCTTCTCTGCTACACTTACAAAACACGCCCACAACTACGTCTTCGTTCCGTACTCACGCCTACGTCTCTGATTCCAGAAATTCTCCACACCCGCCGCCCGAAGCCAGGATGACCTGCAATGGAAGGACGTGTGGTACCGTCTGGAGGAAGGTCGGGGCAGCATCAACTTAGCAAGCTTCGAGGAGCGCATCACCAGGACCCCAAACAATGCTCAGGCGATCCCACAAGCCCTCAGTTTGCTAAGGAAGGCAGACACTCAGCAGAAGGGCTACGTCACGTATGCTGAATTTAGAGACTTCGTACGTTTTCCGGTGTTACCTCTTTTGTTAGGAGATAACGGTAAACAGTTGTAAACTGTCCTCCTAAGACCTAAATCATGAAGTACTTAAACTTTACAGATTTAAGCTGATTTCTCTACAAATACTAGTTTACGTTAGGTTGATAAATGACCCTTATGTACTTGATACTTAAACTTAGTGAACCATCCATCTCTGTTTGCATTACCTGTTTATATCTATTTAGTTAATCTGTTAACCACAACATGCAATTTATGGCTGTTAACTGAGAAGACTTTCTACTCGGACATTACCCTCAACTGTATTCTGTGTTATAGTGATATACTTATCGGTATGTTTTACCACTAACATTCGTTTAGTTTGACACCCACCAACCAGTCTAAGCATTCGTTCAGTCATCTGTTGACTCCCCCATCTCGCGTTTATCCACCCACCTATCTCAATTTACCTATTCAGCTATCTACCAACTCACCCGTCCAGTTACCAGCCCACCTAATCATTCTTACCCACTCATCGAATACTATTACCATAATTTACGAACATGGAAATAAAAGAAGACCTTCATATTGTTTTATATCTAATAAACCCGTCTTCTCTATTGCTCCCGTTTTCTTTTCGAGCGCCAATACATTCTCTATATCCGTGTTGATTTTTCGTGAAATTTCGTTATTTTGCGTTTATCTGACTTTAAGATTTACAGAACCTGTTCCCTACCGGTCAAGAATATTTTAATCCCTAAAATTCGGACTAGTCAACTCTCAGAGTATGTATACTGAGGGATATTCATCTCTCAGTAGTTTGATATGTCATGATGTGCCAAATACAAATATGAGTATAAATCAACAAATAATTTTAACCTGACTTTTTAATATTTGTTTTAATTGCTTCCTATTTTTTAAATACTTTTAGATGCGCAGTATTATATTGCCTTTTATTTTATGGCTATGATAATTATTAGACAATGTTATTTATATTATTAAACTTTTAATATAGATTATTTAAACTAAAAATAATGGTAGGAATTAGGATTTTAGTAAGTGCTTGTTAATAGGATTTTATTTTTATTACTCTAAATTCGTTTACCAACCTAAACAGCTTGATTTAATAGGGAAACGAAAAAATAACTAAAATAGAGATAAAGAAAATGGGTTTACCTATAGACTTCAAGAACAAATGGGTTAGTTAAAAGCCAAGTGAGAGGTAATTGTAGTATATTACCGTATGTCTGAAGAGATTTCTTCCCGTCCAGCGGGTGGCCCAGCAACCGCAGCCAGACATGCCTGGCCCAGGGCCAGGCTGCGGAAGTAAAACTCGTTAAACCATAGGTTTATGTTGGTGTTTACATAGGTAATAGGAGAGAAAGTACGCTTAGTTTTAAGACATAGATAGGTATCGATAGTTCATAAGCCCTATCGTCTCGAGACTCGATATAAATGAAACCGAGAGCCTTAAGGTTGGGCGTTAGTGTGGTATTATTATTGCTGTTAATATTAATATTATTTATTATTATTATTATTATTATTATTACTATTATTATTATTATAGCAGTACCAGTAGACCTAACTCGTTTCTCTCCCCTCCTCAGTACAACAAACGTCTGCAAGAGAACTCATGGGAGCGAGGAGTGCTCACGAGGGTGGCCCTCGACGTCCAGGATTTTAGCCCGTCACCCGAGGAGGAGGTAAGAAGTATTGACAACAACAGCTCTTTCCTGTACTTTTGTAAAATATAAAACATTATAACGTTAAACAAGAATGTTAATAGATTACTTGGGTAATCATAGTCTTCAGAGTGAACAAACAGCTTTCACCAAGCTATTTGAGTATCTTCTAGGCGTCTTTTTGTATATCTTGTGACGAGTTTACATGTCCCATGAAGTGTAAGTACCGAGAGAAGCAATGCATGTAGAAGGGGAGAGGTGTATATCCCAGCATTTACACAGTGATAGGATACTTTAATTCCAATAGATAACATGAACCTTAATGACCCTCGCATGTTGACTGGCTTCAAGACCAATTAACCAGCTAAAATATTTAAGAACACATACACAGAAGTGTGTCTCTCAGTGTACATATGCTGTGAATTCACTTTGTGATTTAAAGGGTTTAGAAAACAGGCAAGTTGAAAAATGAGACGCTTGTGAAACGTTTTGGAACCTTTGTCGAGCAAACGTTTCGCCTGACAGTGGCTTCTTCAGTCCAGTACAGAGAAGTATGGTGGAAGATGAGGAGGAGTTTGAGGTAGTCAATCCCTGAGCCTGGAGTCAATGCATTCAGTCCATTAGTCTTCAGAAAAATCCAGCATATACTGGGAGAAGTGGCTTACAGCAGGTGAGTTGAAGCAAGAGGAGGCGGAGTCACGATTGGACAAATCCACTGGCTTCAACTCACCTGTCTGTAGTATATAAGCCCCTTCTCCGCGCATATGCTGCACTTTTATCAAGACTGATGGACTGAACATACCGACTCCAGACTAAGGGAATGATTACCTCAAACTCCTCCTCTACCGTTCTTGTCTGACTAGAGAACAGTTTCCAGAATAAATATATCCAAATGTTGCACAAGTGTCTTATTTATTTGTCGTTTTTTTTAACCATATATACAAAGTAGACAATATTGGCCATGTGCATAACAATAAGACTAATCATATCTCTGCAGTTTTTCAGTTAGTATGTCTCTGTCTCTTTCGACTGAAGGAAGACGAATTGTGATGTTAAATGGAGACGGAGGGCATAGAGGTATAAAATGGAAAGTACATTTTAAATACATGTTAAATATTATAGACGCAATGGAGTCGAAGATTTCACGCCTGGAAGAGGGAGGAATAGGCTGTGTTGAGAGGTAGGAAGGCAGAGGTACGGGAATACGTACGTTATAAGAGTGGGAAGACAGAAGTGAGTATGGGAAATGGTATACGAGTGGGAAGATAGAGACGAGATTGGGAATACCTGATATAAGAGCAAATGTTCACTGTATGGAATATCACTGGTAAACCTGCCGCAATATTATCCTTCCCGTTTGCTCTCTATACATCTTTCAAATTGTAAATACGAGCGCATAAGAGCATATAACAGTAATCCACTTGTTCTCTATGTGACTGCAGCCAGTTTACAACACGTGGGTAGACCTGGTCAACTACGTGCACATCACCCCATCTCCATTGGACTTTCAGTGGCACTGGATCGTGCCTACCGATTACGATCGCTCGCGACTCCCTCATTCCTGCTTCTACAGAAGTGAGCTAGTTAGTCCACAGAGGCTGCGAGAGTGGCTTCTGACGACAAAGGCGGCGGACAACCTCCCCAACCAAGCAGTCATCAAGCTGCTGGAGAAGTGCCAAAGTATCCTGACAGATGCAGACGCCAATCAAGACGGCTACATCGAGTATAAGGAATTCCTGCGTTTTGTAAGTTTGATATAAATCTTAGAGAAAAAAGTGCAGGTTTAGTTTGATATATATTATCCAGTACAGAATTGCTTTGATGAGTTTTTTTTTAGTTTCAGTGACCGATTGAGATTATTCACTAACCATCAATCACACTAATTCATTTACTTCATCACGAAATGTGATGAATTCTTGATAATGACATCCTCACAGGGAAGACCTTCCCTATGACACTTTTCACGGAAGACTTCAGGGAAGACCTCCATGGGATGACCTCCCTGGGGAGACCTCCCTGGGGAGACCTCCCTGGGGAGACCTCCCTGGGGAGACCTCCCTGGGGAGACCTTCCTGGGGAGACCTTCCTGGGGAGACCTTCCTGGGGAGACCTTCCTGGGGAGACCTTCCTGGGGAGACCTCCCTGGGGAGACCTCCCTGGGGAGACCTCCCTGGGTAGATCTCCTTGGGGAGGTCTCCAGGAAGGAGCCATCAACCCACCCCCCACCCATCAACCCACTTCTCACTCGCCAACCCACCCAATTAACTTCGTCACAGCCGGTGAAGCGGTCTTGAGTGTCCTCTTTCCACAGGTAAGCATCAAGACGTCTGGGTACCGTGGTAGCGCGGTACTGCGCCGGGGTGTTCTTGGGGTACTTCCCAGAGGTGAACGTACTTTGGAGACGAGAAGGTACATTGAAGAGTACTCATGCTGGCCCCCACCTCTCTTCATGTTGCTCATCACCATAGCTGAGGTGAATATTTTTCTCTGCACAATTATCTATTTTTTCCATGTTTTTTTTTTTCATTTCTCATCTGTTTTTTTTTATTACTACCCTTCGCAGGAATACACAAACACAGAAGTTTAGGAACACTGCAAAAGGCCTACTGGCCTATGCTTGGCTGCTGCACCTCGTTCCCACCTAAACCCAGCCAGAGGCTTCTTTAGTCCAATACAGAGAAGAATGGTGGAAGATGAGGAGGATTATAAAATAATTCAGTCTCTCAGCCTAGAGTCGATGTGTTCAGTCATCATGTCTTGACAAAAGTTCAGTATATGCTGGGAGAAGTGGCTTCTGTACTACCTAACCTTAAGGCATGACCTACTTAAACTAGTGGATTTGTCCAGTGGCGACTCCGCCGCCTCCTGCTTCAGTTCACCTGACTGCAGTATATGAAACACTTCTCCAAGTATATGCTGTACTTTTCTCAAGAATGATGAACAGAACACATCGGCTCCAGGCTCAGGGACTAAATACCTCAAACTCCTCGTGGTTTGCTGAACTATTTGCATCACATATAGACTATTTACCCTCTCCTTTCTCCTATATCCTCTATCTTAACTCTAAATTTCCTTTCATGTTTCCACCTCCCTCTTCCCTTCTTTTCCTCTCTGGATATACAAACGCATATACATGTATACATGCCTTGAATTTTTAGGGAAATCTTGTATTAAATCTTCATAATTCATTACAATTATAAGACTAACTGTTTATGATTTGATTTTATCGTTTGTATAATTGAATAACATTTTGTAAAATGTTGTTTGGTAAATCTTAATATAAATTCACTCTCTGTGTTTCTGTCTCTCTCTGTCTTTCTCTTTCTCTTTTTTTTTCCCTCGACTGTCTGTCGTTGAGTGTACCTCTCCGCCCCTCAGATCATTACCTTCATTATCTACGTGGTGGACATGCAGGAGCCCATAGAGGGTAACGGACCCTGCCCCACCTACTCTCCACTGGTGTTCAATCCACGAAGACGGTACGAAGCCTGGCGCTACATCTCATACGCTCTCATACATTCAGGGTACGTGTTTGCTACGCGTACGGTACGTCACTGATGCTGCATCAAAGATCAATCAGATGCAGTACAGCAATGGTATGCTGAAGTTGAAGCAAAGAGTCGCATAATGTTATGACTAACGTACAAGATTCACCGAATGTATGTGATATATCCACGTTACACATGGTGCACTAAAAGTATACCCACAGTACGTATGTTGCACTAATGGTATACCTACGGTAAATATGTTTCACGAAACCCACGGTATACATGCTATACTAAAGATATATCTAGGGTCTACATTGTACATTAAAGGTATACTCACGGTACATGTGCTATGCTAAAAGTATACCCCACAATATACATGCTACACTAAGGGTATATCCACGGTAATTGTGATACACTAAAGTTATTCCCACGGTACGCATCCTACACTAAAGGTATACCCACAGTACACTTGCTACACTTACGATGCCCCCACTGTGTATATATTACACCCACAGTATACATACTGTTCCTACGTTACAATGCTATTCCAGTGATTGTTAGGTATGCTACATCACACAGGCTATCCCCATGGTATATAAATTACTCCCAAGGTACACGTTACACTAACGACACACATGATGCACTCACGGTACATATGCTACATCCCTTGCACATATGGTACAGTCATGGTGCACATGCTGCACCCACGGTACGTGTTATACCTATAGTGCGCATGTGACATCTACACGGTACGCCTACATCTATGGTACATTAGTTTGAGGCTGAACTCATTCAAAATTGTAGGTAATGTTACCTTTTGTGATCATATTTGTGTACCTCCACAGGTGGGTGCACCTGGTGAACAACCTGCTGGTGCAGATGGTGCTGGGGGTACTGCTGGAGATGGTGCACACTTGGCGTGTTGTTGTCATTTACGTGACGGTGTAACAGCAGGCTCGCTCGCCCACTCCCTTTACACTCCATCATTCTTCCTGGTCGGGGCCTCCGGGGGTGTTTACGCCGTCGAATACGCACATCTCGGGAACCTCTTAATGGTTAGTTGTGTCGCCAGGATCCTGGTACCTTTGAAAATGGGTTGGGCAATATTTTTTGCTAGTGTTTTGGGTTTGAGAAGGACCTGCCTAGCACAGAAGTGTGCATGTTAATTGAGACAGTGATGAAATAAGACATTTATTTGGAAAATTAAGGTTTATTTGATAAATACACCTCAATTATGGCAGATAATGATTAATGCTAGCTATGACTATCCTATGCCTAAATCAGCGTCTAGTGACATCTGTAATCATTATTAGCTACATAAACAAAATTCTGAAATTAAATTGAATCTTGAATTGAATTTGAATCCTTCGTCGTGGTGCAAGGTCCTAATCACAGCAGCATTTAGCTTCTACACAGGTAAACAGCCCTGTTTCGGCACTTACTGATTATGTCCATTCCGAAGAAACTTGGTTCCATCTCGCTACCACTGATGTGTACCCATGTGCTTCCAAATGCGCCTCATCTGAAAATATAACTTTTCTCCAATCATGTTTTGTAAATCTCTTAAGATCGAGTGCCCACTGCAGCCATTTTTTCTTCATAGCAGCAGTCAATAATTTTTTCTTTGCCGGTTTTCTGGCAGTTCTGCCAACTTCAAGAAGCCTTCGTTGAACAGTTGAAAAATCAACATTCCTGCCAGCTGAAACCAAATCTCTCTGCAGATCTTTGCTGGTATCCTTTTCTTGTTGTCGTGCGTTAGTTCCACATCTTCCTCGATGCAGCGCTCCACAGTCACCAGTGTCGTCAGCTCTCTTCAGAATCGACTAACACTTTATTTGGTTCAGATTTTTGGCAATCTGTCTGATACTCAAATCATCATGTTTTCTAAGATCTACAAAGTTCATAAATTTCAGTAGTTATCATGAATTGAATGGAAGAATTTAGAAAACCACATTCACTCAAAGAGCACGCTTGCAGGAATAGCCATACAGAACAACAGATGTTGTAGCACTGAGGAGAGTCATAGTGTAACTTCACAGCTGGATGGTTACCAGAAGTTCCCAAACTACATTAATTAAGCTGAGAGTAAGGCAAATTATGAAATAGCAAAATTTACTCCTGTCCTACTTAATATGCACACTACTGTATGGGTTAATACGCCTGCTGCAGTATTCTCCTTTCTTATGGTCAGTTGTCGTCAGGATCCTGGTGGATACTTGATAGTCTCTTGGTCAGTTGTGTCGTCAGGATCCTGGTGGATACTTGATAGTCTCTCGGTCAGTTGTGTCGTCAGGATCCTGGTGGATACTTGATAGTCTCTGGTCAGTTAGTGTCGTCAGGATCCTGGTGGATACTTGATAGTCTCTTGGTCAGTTGTGTCGTCAGGATCCTGGTGGATACTTGATAGTCTCTTGGTCAGTTGTGTCGTCAGGATCCTGGTGGATACTTGACAACCTCTTGATGGTCATCTTTGTCGACAAGTTCTCTGGTAGATGCTTGTCAGCCTCTTGATGGCCAGGTCCCTCTGGATGTAATAACTCACCTTGAACTTAAGTGTAAGAGCTTGAGGTTATGTAACCATTCTTGTTTTTGTTGACACAAGAACTCAGTACTGATAAACAGCCATTTAAAGCGAAGTTACTCTATATCGTAATTTTGTTAATGAAAGCACATTACCGCTTGTAATTTTCTGGGGATGGTTAGAGCATTGTTTGCTCTTCATTAACTACCGGAAAGAATAAGAAAGAATAGGAATGCTTCCTAAAATGACAAGTTAATAAGAATGCATCACTAGTAAATCTTAAAAGAAATAATATAGTTTATTGATATTTAGAGAATTGGAAACCTATGTCAAGAGAACTGTATGTACATAGATTATCTCTGACGAAAAAATATAGCTCGTATTCGTTCGTTAAACTAACTCTTTATTGACAGAACTGGTCAGAAATGGAGCTCCCATGGGTTCAACTGATTGTGATTCTGTTTATCATGTCCCTTGACCGGGGCTACGCCGTCTGGGACACGTTAACGAATCCTAATACCGCTGTGAGTGATGCTCAGTCTTGTTGGATTAATTTTTGTGTTAAACTTCAAGAAATTAATTTTAGTATTGTGTGTTCAAGGTGACTAGGATTCAAATGAAACCTTTTTAAAATTTAAAATATAATTTTATATAATAAGATTATTACGAACTGTCCTTGTCTATTAAAAATTTCCCAGTAATGAAAAAGAAGAATGGGCGAACTGGAACCATGGACCATGCATGTTGAAGGTATGAGCCATCGAATGATGTATTTTATGTCAAAATTCTTGTTTTTCATTTAGGTGATACCTTAGTGAATACAGCTTTTTTATGAGCCCATGAATGTTAATGAACAAGTCCATTCATCAGAGTTAAGTATGAGAATTGGTGGAAATGTTTGAGTGGATACTAGAGCCAACATATACCCCTTCCCCTAAATTCCATCAATATAACGATATTTGTCTTTGCAAACATACAGGGTCTAAAGCCGACAACAAAAGAAAATTCCTTACATCAAGGGACTGCTCACGGAGTCAAATGTAATGTTTGCAGCTTTCACAGAGACCCACATAAAGGATCATTTTGGCAACTAAATATGGATCCCAGGTTATAACCTATTCCGATGCGACAGACTAAACGGGCAACAGGGGGGGTAGGGTGAGGTGGGTTGGCTTGTACGTCACTGAGTCGCTCATTTGCTCAGAATTACTAAACACATCAAATGATGTAGTTGAAGTTATAAAAGTCTCGGAGTAAAGATTACAATCCAAAAGCTTTGAATTGACTACTGCCTCCGGAAAACTCCCACATTCCCCAACACTTTTGAAAATAGACACTCTAAAATGGTCGCAACATAACTCCCCCCAGACAGCGCAGCTGGGAGATTTCAACACTACACACCTACAACAACACAACAAATAAATTAACACACACACACACCAGAAGCACACACGCACGCAAAATCACACACTAACCTCTGCACCAAATTCAGCTTAAACCAACAAATATTAGAGCCTACAAGACTAGAAAATATGCTGGACCTTATCTTCACTGACAAGGACGATCTGATACATGTATGCACAGGCTCCTGACCAGCAAAATGTGATCAGTCATGAGGTTGTCTTCACAAAATTCAACTTCAATAACAAAAACATACAATGGGAACAAGTCAACCATGTCCATATGAAACAAGCTGGGAAGATATCCTAAACAACACGGATCCGAATCTTTGCCTAGAAAAAATAAACTCTGTGGTTCTTGAGATCTGTTCAAGGCACATTCTATTAAGAAAAAGAAAGATGATGTAAACAAGAAAGAGAGAGACTCCCTATACAGACGAAGGCGAAGAATCACTAACATCCCATATAAAAATATTTGAAAGGGTTCTGAGAAGCAAGATCGCCATCCACCTAGATACCCATCAGTTACACAACCCGGGGCAACACGGGTTTAGAGTAGGTCGCTCCTGTCTGTCCCAGCTACTGGATCCACTATGGCAAGGTCCTGGATGCTACAGAGGATAAACAAAATGCAGATGCAGTATACACAAACTTTGCAGAAGCCTTCGACAAGTGTGCACGGTGTAATAGCACACAAAATGTGTGAAAAAGGAATAATAGGAAAAGCTGGTAGATGGGTCTATAACTTCCTGGCAAATAGAACACAGTGAGTAATAGTAAACAGAGTAAAGTCCGAGGCAGTTATGGTGAAAAGCTCTGTTCCATAATGCACAGTACTCCCATCCTATTCCTCATATCTGACTTAAGATGTATGGCTATTCCTGCAAGCGTGCTCCATGAGTGAATGTGGGTTTTCTAAATTCTTCCGTGTCTTCCTTTGCGGATGACACCCGAATTGCCAAGACTGTTTTCCATCGAAGACACTGCAAGACTCCAAGTGGACATCAACCAAATCTTCAAATGGGCCACTCAAAACATGAAGTTCAATGAAGAGAAATTTCAATGGCTCAGATATGGAAAATTTGAGGAAAGCAATGTGAGAAAGTAATGTGAAGGACCTGGGAGCGATAGTGTCAGAGGATCTGGCCTTCAAAGATCACAACAATGTATCGACCACATCTGCTAGGAAAATGATAGGATGGATAATGAGTACCTTCAAAACTAGGGAGGCCAAGCCCATGGTGATTCTCTTCTAATTGCTTGTTCTCTCTGGTTGGAATACTGCTATACGCTAACTGTCCTCTTCAAGGCAGACGAAATTGCAGACCTGAAGTGTTCAAAGACCTTTCACGGCACACACAAGTACGATAAGGCACCTAAATTAATAGGAATAGTTGAAGTCCCTTGATTTGTATTCCCTGGAACGCAGGCGAGAGAGATGCATGTTAATATACACTTGGAAAAACCTAGAGGGATTAGTACTAAACTTGCACACGAAAATCATTACCTATGAAAGCAAAAGACTCGTCAGGAGATGCAACATTCCCCCAGTGAAAAGCAGGGGCGCCACGAGTACACTGAGAGACAACACAGTAAGTGTCAGGGGCCCAAACTGTTCAACTGCCTCCCAGCATACATAAGGGGGATTACCAGTGGACCCAAGGCTGTCTTCAAGAAGGCACTGGGCAGGCACCTAAAGTCAGTAACTGACCAACCGGGCTGTAGTTCGTAAATCGGTTTACGTGCTGCCAGCAGTAACAGCTTGGTTGATCAAATCCTGATCCACCACGAGGCCTGGTGTCAGACCGAGCCGCGGGGGCGTTCACCCTCGAAACAGTCTTCAGGTATATATATATATATATAATTATATATATATATATATATATATATATATTATATATATATGTCGTGCCGAATAGGCAGAACTTGCCATCTTGGCTTAAATAGCAACGCTCATCTTGCCATATAGGACAAGTGAAAATTTGTGTATGCAATAATTTCGCCAAAATCATTCTGAACCTAACGAAAAAAAATATATTTCACTGTGTTTGTTTAGTATTAAATTATTGTAAACAAATCTAAAATATATTTAGTTGGGTTAGGCTAAAATAAATTGTTCGTGTTATAATAAGGTTAGGTAAGTTTTCTAAGTTCCTTTTGGTGCAAAATTATAATTTTTTACATTAACATTAATGAAAAAAATAAATCTTTAAACGTATAAGAGAAAACTTTAGAAAGGACTTAATTTTAAATGAGTTCTTGCTAATTGACCAGTTTTACATATTCGGCACGACATATATATATATATATATATATATATATATATAATATATATATATATATATATATATATATATAATATATATATATATATATATATATTATATATATAAATATATATATATATATATATATATATATATATATATATATATATATATAATATATATAATACACACACACATATATATATATATATATATATATATATATATATATATATATATATATATATATATATATATATATATATATATATATATGTGTGTGTGTGTGTGCGTGCAGAACAACCACTGTGAAAAAAAAACAGTAAAATTCCAAGCGTTTTCGTGACTTCTCACATTATCAAGGAATTATAAGAAACAAAACATCAATATGAAGGCATATAAGGGCAAGACTACAACTGGCAGTCGCGTGAGTGTATCATTAAATGCTTCCCAAATTTTATTAATTGTAAATGAATCCAATTTATATAAACCAAAAGAAATATTCATATTTCCAAAACTGCTTTTTATGAAACATGATTCTGTTATATTCCTGTAGTCCATGGACTTGCTTGATACAACTTTCTCAGCCTTTCGAAAATCAATTGGATGGTTAAAATCTCTCGCACAAATAAATAGAGCATCAGAATCTTGTCCAGTTCTAATGCTATATTTGTTGTTTTAATCTTAGTTCGCGACTTTTACCAGTTTGACCGTAATAAACTTTATCGCAAATTTTACAAGGAATCTTATAGACACATCCATCAGCATTTTGGGGGAATTCATCAAAATTTTTTTTTTTCTTTTTTTACTATATCAAGATTTTTAAATACAACTTTAATATTAAAAGTCTTAAGAAGAGAAGGCATATCAACCAAGTTTTCATGGTAAGGGAGAATCAACATATTTTTAGTTGAATAAGGTTGGTTGTCCGTTTTTGAATTGTAAAAAGTATTTTCAGCAGTTTTAAAGGATTTATCAATAAGTTCTTGGGTGTTTTAGATCATTAGCTATTTCATAAATTTTGCATATTACTCCAATGAACTCTGAACTACAAATACGCAAAGCTCTCAAAAACATTGATGAGAAAACAGACGGTTTAACTCTATCTTGATGTGAAGAATAATAGTGTACCTTGGAACAGTTATTTGTTGGTTTTCTCTAAATTTTTAATCTAAAATCATTGTTACCCTTAATAACTAAAATGTCTAGGAAAGGCAAAGAGTTATTTTCTTCGAACTCAACAGTAAAATTTATAGAATGAGCTACACTATTTAATTTAACGAGGAAATTGGTTTTATCATCTGTTCTTAGTAATTTATACCTGGAATTTTTTGAGACAAGCTTGCTTAACACAATCCTTCCTAATAGAGGTAAGTGGTATAGATGTGTTGATGATATTTTGTGTCTTATGCCTAAAACTAAAACTATAGATCAATATTTACACCCAACCAATTAACTCGCTATTGCTGAACATGTAAGAGACCTTAGGTGAGTAACGTATGCTTTCTCACGCAGACTGGCCACATGGCCCATCTGGCGGGGGCCATGACTGGACTCCTGATAGGCGTGGTGATGCTGAGGAACCTGCGAAAGGAGAACTGGGAAAGATACTGCTGGTGGACTTCTCTTCTGCTCTTCATCGTCCTTGTTACATGCGGGGTACTCCTAAACATCTTTCTCCCAATCCCAGAATACTTCCCAGAAAACGATTGGTCTACCATATCTCAGAACCGAGAGGAATGGATGAGGGAGCACGGCTGATCTTCCTCGCCCCCTTATTTTTTAAGTAAATCGAAATATTTCTTCACCTTGGAGGACCACTGGTTATCGTTCAGCAAAGCCGAGTTGAGTGCTTGCATTAATTTGAGTAATGATCATAGGGAAAGTGCAGCTCAATATTACCATAAATATATCGCTAAACAACTGCGCTTCCGCATTTCTAAATCCCAGATATGAGAAGAATGCACGAGAAACGACTCAAGTTATCACATTCAATTTAAACTAATTTTCAACTTTCATGAGTTTATACATTTGCAATGTGGAAACTAATGATAGGTTTTCAACATGATTTTATGGATTTAGGCACATTCGTGATTTAAGTACATATAATGATTAACATTAAACATATACAGCAATTTGTGAAACATTTAAAACAGGAGTGATTTATAGAAATAATTATTAAAAGGCATGTAATAAACACATTTAAAACTTAAATTGCCGATTAAACTTAACGAAACTAACCTATGGTATTTATTATATTAAACATATACATTGCCATTTGCGTGGAAGACAGTACTAGCAGTGGACCTGGAAATTCCTAAATAAAGTACTTCTATATGAATTTTCAATTAAAGAGGAGCAGGTCAATTAAATATGCCATACTATTTTAAATAAAATTCAGAATAATAAACTTAAAAACGCTATATCTTTAGTGATAGCCAGCCAGTGGCTTCTTCAGTCCAGAGCAGAATGGTGGAAGATGAGGAGGAGTTTGAGGTTAAACAGTCCCTCAGAGATTTCAAAAACAAAAATAGAAGACTGGGAGAATTAGGATCAAATTTGCATCTAGTCTAACTAAATTGATGGTGTATCATCCTTCATATAGAATACATTATCATTAATATTTTGAAACGAATTGAGACTCATTTAAAGGCAACAGAACCTCTGACGACAGCATTTAGGGTTCCCCGAGGTAGTATGCAGACAGAGCTCTGCTAGTGTCGGGTAAAAATCCAAAAGATATAGTTAATGTACTGTCACTAGAAATAGAATCTTGCAGCAGATAGATAGTAGACAACAGATTGTTGCTACAGCACGAGAGTAAAGTGAAAAGGGTAAATAATTTTAATATTCAGTGTAACTGGAAACCGATCACTTCAGTATCTTCAGTTTAATATCTGGGAATTCCCTTTGACAATTTATGTGGACTGTATGAGCATGTGACTTATAAATATTTTTGTATATAATGGTTATAACTGACCTTAATTTTTAAAGGGGTGGGCAGGTAAGCCAGCGACTGCCTCGGTCAGATGACCAAAGCTCCAAAGGCTGGTCATCATCTAAGACCAGCGTCAGGAAATACATGTCCTGTTTCCCGACGAACCTTACCTAACCTAAACTGTAACTAGGCTCAAATATTTAGTTTTTGCACATAAGTAGAAATATTAAAAGATACATACCATTTATTTCATGGGTGATGTATCCTAATACCTCCTAATAGGAAGGCAAACTAATATTGGCCAATAACTAGTTACCTTACCTGTTGTATGGAGTTCAACACACACTGGGAGGCGTACATTAATTGTTTGATACATGTCACAGGCAATATGATGCCACTTTCAGCTATTGCCTCTTGTTTTCTATCATGGCATCATTATGCTGTTGTTAGGTAAGACACATATGCAACAGTTAGGTATCTTTATTTCGAAACGTTTCGCCTACACAGTAGGCTTCTTCAGTCGAGTACAGAAAAGGGACTGACCACCTCAAAACCTTAAGGGTAATGGACTGATTACATCGTCTTCAAGTCTCTTCTGCTTCTATCAACTTTTCTGTACTCGACTGAAGAAGCCTACTGTGTAGGCGAAACGTTTCGAAATAAAGATACCTAACTGTTGCATATGTGTCTTACCTAACAACCTGTCGGTATTTTATACCACTTTAATGTTCAATAATTATGCTGACAGTTGTATTACACATGTTACAGCATCATCTATCCTTTCCCCCTCAAACGTTCATCTTGTATATATGTATGTATTTACAAATAGCGATATTTCTAAATGTGTAATTGCATTTCCTATATTAGAATATTAATTTATTTTAAATTACAAAAAAAAAAAAATAACGTTAATCAACTTCTTACAATGTATAAAGAAATTATAAGGAATCTGGGTTCTCATGTTACTTATCACCTTTAAAAAGTCACACCAACATTGCATACCTACACTAACTCATTTGTTACCCTTATCACCTTGCTCTTTCCTATATTAACTTTTTATTGCCTTCTTTTACATACCTGCCTAAATTCATCCACTAACCTTTGCAACTTCTCTTCTGAATCTCCCAAAAGCAGTGTCATCAGAAAAAAAGTAAAAACATTATTATCCCCTACCAATAATTACACCGAAATCACAGGAATATAAGAACTTTCCAAAAGTGACAGCATCAAAACTAAGCATCTTACTACTATTTCCCTTATCTCCCATTTCTCTTTCTTTTGTTAAAAACTATTCCCCTTAAGTTTTACTACAATAACACCTACTACTACTGCTACTTTCCCTACCAACATTACGTCTTCCACTACTACTATTTTTCCCCTCAAGGAAGGTTCCTTGATGTTGGTGAGGGGCTCTTGATTTAGGGAATTGGATCTGTGCTCCAGTTCCCCCGAATTAAGCCTGAATGCCTTCCACATCCCCCCCATGCGCTGTATAATCCTACGGGTTTAGTGCTTCCCTTTGATTTAATAATAATACTACTATTTTCTTGCTCTTTTCTCTCGGCCCTGTCCCCCCTCGCCTGTATACCTGGAGAGGGTTTCGGGGGTCAACGCCCCTGCGGCCCACTTATACTTTTCTGTCGATGTGACTTGTGAATGGTCCAAGTTGCAGCTAAACGTCGTCATAAGCTTCTTCCTCTCCTATGTCAAGTTGATGTGTATTATTATTATTATTATTATTATTGTGGAACATTTTTACAATTTTCCTTTAAATAGTAACGTGAATGTGAAGTGTTAATATAATGTAATGTAAATATGAAGTGGTAATGTAAATATGAAGTGGTAATGTAAATATGAAGTGGTAATGTAAATATGAAGTGGTAATGTAAATATGAAGTGGTAATGTAAATATGAAGTGGTAATGTGAACATGAAGTATTTACGGTGATGGCAAACTACTGACAACTCGTGAGGAAGCGAGTGGTGTTTATTGAAGATGTGTGTAGGTGAGAAGGGTGTGTAATGGAGAGGGTAGTATGTAAATTGGTGGAGTCAATTGAGAGGTAGTGTTAGCGTATCTAAGGAATGGAAATCTGTGAATCTTCGAATGAAATGATCTAAAGGGTATGTAATATGAAGCGGTGTCGTTAAAATGAAGTGAGTGAACTATCATGTAATGTAATCTCCAATGGAATAAATTTTACTATGCGATGGTTAAACTATGAATTGGCAATGAGTTACCATACGAAGGAAGTATACTGAGGGATGAGGTTTCTGAGGTCAAACACTGACACCGCGGACCGAGTGGGTGTTACCAGATGATTACCAGGTTGATGGTGGGGCCGACGGAAAACGACGTAGCAACCAGATCCGGGTGGTCAGGTACGAGTAGTAGTCTTGTCGGAGGTCCTTAAGGTATTTAACACCAAAGAAATCCCTAATCTTCGAATGAGAATACTAAGTGTAAAAATGTCGTTTAAATTGTAAAATTGCACTTCGTAATGTACGTCTCCCAATGGCTAAATTTTCACTATGCGATGGTTAACTTGTATTGGCCAATGAGTTACCAACCGACAGGAAGTATACCTGGGGAGGGTTCTGGGGGTCAACACCCCCTAGGCCCGGTCTGTGACCAGGCCTGATTAACCAGGCTGTTACTGTTGGCCGCACGAAAACCGACGTACAAACCACATCCCGGCTGGTCAGGTACTGACTCTAGGTACTTGTCCGGAGGCCTTAGGATATAACACCCAAATCTTAATTTGGTGAGTAATACGGAAATGTCCTTTATATATTTTTTTTTCTAATGTAATTCCCCTCTGGAAGGTTCCTTGATGTTGGTGAGGGGCTCTTGATTTAGGGAATGGGATCTGTGCTCCAGTTCCCCGAATTAAGCCTGAATGCCTTCCACATCCTCCCCCCCAGGCGCTGTATAATCCTACGGGTTTAGTGCTTCCCTTTGATTATAATAATAATAATCTAATGTAATTGATTTATGTTTATTAAAAATTACTCCAGCAAATTACTCAGGTGAAGTGATTGTAATAACATTATATAGTTCACACATAATTTGTCACTGTTACTGGCATAATATTTCAAATAATTTCAAGAATTATATGTTTTAATAATTTAAGGTCCAGACGTGTGTGATATGATGGCCTGAGAAGGTGGGCACGAAGGAGGGACGTTATGGTGTCCTTAATTAAGGTCCCACTTGACCCTGAGGTACATCACTATCAATAAGTGTAAACATAATTTCTCGCAGTTAATGATAGAAGTATATTATTGCTAGGCTTTAAATAATCAATCAGTCAATCAATCAAGTTTATTCTCTATAAAGATTACAATGCGGGTTTACAGATTTTGGATATTGTGTGGTTTACATGTTATAAAATACTAATTACAGAGGGGGCCACTAGGACACCTAGCATGGCTAGGCATTTCGGGCAGACTTCGATTAATTCTTAACTCTAAATTAATACAGATTATGGAGTAAGCTGGTATTAAGGCTAAGTGACTACATTATAGTTTGTGAGTTTAGCAATGTAAATGCTTTTGTTTTGGCACAATACACAGGCTCTATATTGTAGTATCACAGGCAAACTTATGACTAGTTAGGATTCATTATTCTATGATTAAGATTCGTATTTCTGTGATTATAGTCAAGTGGGTGAGTGAGTGTAAGTGTGAACAGGTGGTTTTCATGTAGTTAGTTGTCGGGGTGTATCAGGGAGATAAGATGTTGTCTAATGGTAGTTCTGAAGGTGATTAACGTGTCTGCAGGTTTAGAGCTTACAGGTAGGGTGTTCCAGATTTTAGGCACTTTGACATACATAGAATTTTTGTATAGGTTTAGTCGGACACGAGAAATGTCATAGATGTTTGTGTCTCTTATTATGCCTGTGGGTCCTGTCACAACTATCAAGAAAGCGTTTTAGGTCAAGGTTAATATTGGAATTTAAGGTCCTGTAGATGTAGATTGCACAGTAGTAAGTGTGGATGCTCTGAACTTAGAGAAAGTTTAGATCT